ACTTAAAGTTCACAAGTTAAAGCATTAAACATTCAAAGTATTAAGAAAAGTTTACAATCCAAAATAATAGAAAGTTTCCAAAACATCAACATCCACAACATTAAAATAAAAAATACAAGTAATACGAGAATTCAACTTCAAATCTTTAACCTAAACCGGATTGTTGAGTTTGAATACTAGGAGTACTTGGTACATCACTTTCATCTTCATTCACATCGTCAATCTTCATTGTTAAAGTCTGTTTGCATAACGCCTCAATATCTGTATGCATTGAACCTACAAAATACAAAAAATTATATTAGCATTACTTTCATATTAAATGCAGTTTTTTTTTTTATAAATGCATAAATTTAAATGTTGTTTTTTTGTAAATGCAAAATTCTAACTCTTTAAAAAATGCAGATTTTACTCTTAATATTTGTTTAAATGCAGTTTTTTTTTTTTTTTTTTTTTTTTTTTTTTGTAAATATAGAATTTTATAAATGCAAATTTTACCTTCACTAAAAACCCAATTTCTAAGACAAACCAAGGCTTCAGCAGCATTTGCCTTCAACGAACTACGATAAACATCAATAACTCTTCCTCCAATACTGAAAACAGATTCAGAAGCAACAGTAGATATTGGCATGGCCAAAATATCTCTAGCCATTTGAGAAACAATGAGATACCGTCCTTGAAGATGTTTCCAATACTCCAACACATTCAAATCACTCGTGCGAGGTAATTTTGGCTCCTCTAGGTAAGATTGCAGCTCAGATTTACCACCAGTAGTAAATTCACAGCTAAAGAAATCATCAAAATCCTAACAAAAAATGTAGAAGTTAGGAAAATACAAAAAAAAATCATAAAATAAGATAGGAGCAAAATATTACCGTCATATATGTGTCCGACTTATCATTGGCAACACCGGAATGAGATGAGCTTTCATTAGCCTTGGTTGTAGCACTAACAGCCGTATACTCATCAAACAAGGAAAATAATTTTTTGTATACTCATCAAACAAGGAAAATAATTTTTTTTTAAACAAATCCAACTCAACATCAAAAGATGAGCCATATATCTTTTTGAAAGCTCATTCAATAAAATGAAACTTGTAACGGGGATCAAAAACAATGGCAATGCCCATAATAGTGCTAAACTCACACCAATACTTGTCAAACTTCAAATGCATATTTTTAGCCATGTTCTTTATAAAAGTATCACAATTTTCCTTCTCCTCTTGCAAAAGCAATCTTATCTTTAAAACATTAGGAAAATAAAGATTGGAAGTAGGATACTTAGAACCTGAAAAAGCTAAAGTCACATCATGGAAAACTTGCAAAAAGTTGCAAAGTTTTTCAATCCTACTCCACTCGTCGAAGCTTGGGCAATGAACATAGTTTGCATCAGTCTTTGCCAAATGAAGAATTGCTTTTTTTGTGATATAATGCACTATCTAACATGTGATATGTAGAATTCCAACGAGTTGGAACATCTTGCCTTAGCCCTCTTGTGGAATCTATGCCAACATATTGAATAGAACGCAAAAATTATTTTTTCCGAGCTTGAGAACCTTTGCAATACTTAACAGTATCTCTCACCTTAACGATAGCTTCATCTAATTCTTTTAAGCCATCTTGTACAATCAAATTAAGGATGTGAGCACAACAACGAACATGAAAATAATGACCATCAGACATCAAATTCAAATCAAACTTCAGTGCATTAGCCATAGAATCATTTGCAGAGGCATTATCTAAGGTTATGGAAACTATTTTCTTATCAATTCCCCATTGTTTTAACAATCCACAAACTCTTTCTGCTAAGGAAGCACCATTATGGGGAGGGGGCATAGAAGTAAAAGCTAAAATACGTTTTTGCAAGCACCAATTATGATCAACAAAGTGAGCAGTCAATGAAATATACCCATCAATTGTTACAGAAGTCCAACAATCTGATGTTAATGCTATTCTACCAGGAACAAGTCGCAACAAATCATAGAGCTTTGATTTCTCAATTGAATACATGTTGAATATTTCTTTTTTTATGGTATTGCTACAAAATGTTTTAACTTCTGGATATAAGTAAGCAAAACATTTCCTAATACCTTCATATTCTACAAATTGAAAAGGAAGATTATGTCTAGCAATAGCAACAACAACCAACTCACGAAATTCATCAGCATTAAAAGTAGGAGATCTAGTACCCAAAGTCCCTTTCAAATTAGATTGTATAAGAAGCTGTCCAACATCTTTATAACTTTTGTGTTTCAAATCACAAGCCCTTTTATGCCTAAGTAGATTCCCTGTCCCGTGACTACTTTTAGCAATATACGTAGTCCCACATTTATTGCATTTGCACAACATATTCCCCTTACTATCCGATTCTTTAAGTATTTCAAAGGATTTCCAAACACGAGAAGTAAGCTTACGTTTTCGTTTGACAGGTGGGTTACCAGACAGATTCGGTTTATGCATATTCCGATTAGAACTTGGTGGTGCACTACCAACTTCCTCTTCCATCTCATCTCCTATTTCGTCATTAGAAACATCGATTTCATCACCAGACAAGTTGAGTGGTTCATCCATGATTACCTAACTACAAAAAAAAAAAAAAAAAAAAAAAAAAAAAAAAAAAAAACACATAAGAGGAAAAGAAGATGAGAATCGATTGATATGTAGGAGGAAGTAAACCGATAGTTGTTGCGACTCACAAGGAACGATTGATCGAACGACGTAAGAGGAAAAGAAGACGAGAATCAAGAGCGTTTTCGTGGAGTGCGTTCTGTCTTCTGTGGTCACTGCCTCACTGGTGTGCGGAAACTAGGAAAGAATTAGGTCATCACGTAATTAGGTCAAAAAATCTCTTTATTAGCCCAATAGTCCAATACCCTTTGAACACAATAACAGCCCAATATGTTACTTTAACCCAATACTCTCTCTCTCTCTCTCTCTCTCTCTCTCTCTCTCTATATATATATATATATATATATATATATATATATATATATATATATATATATACACACACACACAGGTTATTTTCGTGTCATTTTCGAGTTGAAAATCTTAACCCTAACCTTACCCGTTTAATAATCGTGTCGTGTCGTGTCAACCCGTTTAATTAAACGTGTCGAAATCTCTATCCCAAACCCATTTATTTCGTGTCGATTTCGGGTCGAGTTTCGGGTCATGTCAATTTTTGCCACCTCTAAATGATCTTCAAGGTTTGTAGATCTTCATCGTCTTCATCTTCTTCCCAAATCTGATGTTCGATCATCTTCTTCTTTCCAGTTGGGCTGTCAAATCGGGCATTCGTCTTGTGTTTTTGTCTGACACGACACGATGTCGTGTTTTTTTCATTAACACGAAAATGAACAAATTAAAACACGACACGACACAACAAAGATAATATTACATAACTATTAGTGTATTTCATTCATACTTAAAAATATACAACACGACAAAAATGACAAACACAAAAAAGACGACCACCACATGCTTAATCGTGTAAATTTCGTGTCGATTTATGAACACAAACACGACACGATACGACATCGTGTTTTTTAATCTTGACACGAACACGGCACGAACATGAATTCGAATTTTGATTTCGTCCCGATTTGGTTTCGATTCGTGTATTTTTGTCGTGTCATGTCATAAATTGACACCCCTACTTTCCAGAAACAATTTTCAAGCACATAGAAGAAATCGATTTTATGTGAGCTGGTTCAAAGCATAATGCATCGACGAACTTGTACAATTGTGCTGCATTATTTGTACTTTGTTGACTTCCAAGAACAAATAAGATGAACACGATGAACAAAAGATCTGGAACAATACTCCGACAATTTTTGGGTTTGAAAACCCTAACTCGAGTTTATCTTAAAGCTCATCAGACCTTTAAGAACACAAACAAAAAAGATTTATGCCGGTTTTTAGATCTGATGAAGAACAAGAACACAAATATGATGAAGAACACAAACACAAACCCAAAAGTCATCTTCATCTGTTCAAGAACATACAAACACTCATGATTCTCGATTTTTTATACGAACTTGATATCACATTCGAGTTCAGTGTGTTCTTGAATACAAATGGAAACATGATTTTCGAGCTTCAAACTTTTCACATGAACACTTCTAGATTCGAGTTCAGAACAGTGTGTTCTTGAACAAAAATGGAAACTTGATTTCAAATTATAACTCAAAAACATAACTTCAGTTGAAGATCTTTTGATTTCTGGGAAGAAGATGAACACACACACATCGATGAACTCGTTTTTGTGGTCTATTTGTTCTTGAAGATGGTCAGATTTAGGTTGAAGTGGTTGAAGAATTTATGGGTTTATGATTTTTGGTTCGAAGGGTTTGAAGGGATGAACATGATTGTGTATGTGTTTTTCTAATCTAAAAAACCCACACATACACAACGATTGAAGGGTTGGAGAATTTTTTTTTTCAGATCTACCAAACACGCACACACTCACATACAAATCTGAAAACATTTTTGATGATCTCATTTTTCAGATCTAGTTGTTCTTGAAGATGTTCAATTTGGGTTGAAGGGGTTGAAGAATTTTTTTAGGAAAACATATGAATCTAGGTGTTTTTTGTTTATGTATGTGTTTTTTTTTTTTTTGATGTTTTGGGTCGGAGACTCGCCAGAAAAGATGACCGGAGTCTCACCGGAGCTCACAAGAACATCGGAGACCGGCTAAACCTCCGATAGTAGGTCGTAAGGATGTTTTTTGAACAATTTAACAAGTTCAATGAGAAAATTTGGTGAAAAATAAAAGTCAATGACTAAATGTACAAACATAAAAATATGTTACCCTTTTAAGTCATTATCCCTATTTTTGGGAGAGAAAAAACACAAGAGAAAGTTGATTATCCCCTCACTACCTGACTACTTATCATTTTTATGTTTTTCCAACCGATTAAGTTAAAAAGAATATATGATGTCTTCTATATTATTCTATCCAATGAGATTAAGATATTTTCAAGGTGCAAGAAATTAACAATGATAGAGATACAAAACAATATAAAGAAAGTGATTATAGATTTGGTTCTTCGACAAAGTTATGGTGCGAGTCTTCCACAAAGAAAACGAAGATGTAGTACATATGTTATTTGTATGTTAGCCTTTTATTTATATATATATATATATATATATATATATATATATATATATATATATATATATATATATATATATATATATATATATATTAAAAACCAAAAATATTTAAGATCAAAATTAAATAATATAAAATTTAAAAAGACTAAAAATAAAAAATAAACGATAAATATGTGAAAAACTTTACCCTTATTTTTTAAGGATATTAGCCATTGATGCAAGTCATCCATACAAATTTTTTTTCATAAAAACTTAGAACTTGTAGTGGTACTTTTCCTAACCACATAGTATATAATTTTGTCATTAATGTTGAATATTCTATGGAGTTTAATAAACCTTATTTTATGTAAAAACGAAAATTAAATAGATGAAATTTGGAAGAACTCATTAAGGACACGTGTCGGTCTTTTACCTCCCTACACCCAACAACCTGTCAAAGAGAATCAGGAATCACGGGCAACGGGCATACCATCTTTCTCTTATTGGAGGACCACTTCTACTGAGGTACTACTACTTACTACCCATGTCTTAACTTAACAAGTAAGAACCCTTCCTTCTTCTCTATAAAAACCCATCCCTCTAACCCTTCTCTTCCCTACTCTTTTCTCTCGCAATTTTCTTCTCTCATCTCATCTCTCCATCAACAACTGAATCACAGACCAATTTCATGGAGGCCTTGAAGACGATGAAGCTTTTCGCAGTAATGCTGGTGATGATGATGGTCGTCTCAGCCTTCTCCGTCACCGTCTCCGCCGCAGACGCCCCTGCTCCTGCTCCTACCGCAGGTGCTTCAACCGTCTTCGTCCCCACCGCCATCGCATCTCTATCTGCGGTCGTTTTCGCTTTCTTATTTTAATTAATTTCACCTTCAGATTTCAGTGTGATTTGATTCTTAGTGTTATTGTTACTATACATACACCTCTTCTCTCTCTGAGAGGAAGGTAGATCTTATATATGTAATTCTACTCGAGTTTGCTAGATCTAGAAAGTTTGTGTTTGTGAACTTTATCGTTCTACATATATATAAATTCGGAGATAGTTATTATTAATGTTAATTGTTACGTTCATGTTCTTGTTCTTGTTGAATTCATTACTGGATTCGTTGGATTTGAAGCATCAAATTTGTGGTTTCAGTTTAAGCTTTAATTGATGTATTCATGATTTCTTGCTTTTTTATCCTTTCAAAAGTAAAACAGAGGTCAAAAAGGTAAATGCAGTTGTACTTTACGTAACTTTAATCGTGCATGTTGCTTTGTAGACTTTGTTTTGGGAATATGAATATCATTCTCTCTCCATGATTTTACTTATAAGCATCGCCTTATTATTTCCAGAAACTTCATATTCTTTAATTGAGCCATGGAGGTCTTTCTTTCAGAGACATAATTGTACTATATCTGTTTGTATCAATAATCAATCTTTTAAAAAACAGATCTTTTAATTGAACCTGATCAATTTTTAAGAACTCATTAAATTTAATAGATTATTACTCTAATCAAAGTTATTTTTAATAATGTATTAAACTTTATAAAGTTTAATATAATATATATTTATTAATAAGAAGTTTTTTTTTCTATTAAAAAGTTCAATGACAACCGAACTCTATAGTTATTGATAGTAGAGTTTAATCTATTGAATATCAATTAGGCATAATATTTCATTCAACTCTCCTTTTGAATTATACATTACGAATATTTTTAGTTCAACCGTTTCAACTATTGGTTCAATATGGTTATATATATATATATATATATATATATATATATATATATATAAAAGAATTTCACATCCATAATTTCAAACAATGAAAATAAACATAACAACTTTAGATCAATACAAGTATGTTACAAAAATAGATAACCATAAGTTTTATATTTATCACGTTATTCAAGCTGCTTTGGAAATGAGTTATTTTTAAGGGCGAAATGAAATTCACGTATCCAAATCTAATAAACCGGTTCAAAAAGTTTTTTACCGGTTCTACGGTTCAACCCGGTTTTTAAATAAACCATCAGATTCGATCGGATATAAAATTTGGCATAAAATCGATAATATTTAACCACTCATTTACCTGGATCCCAACTCGACCGATTGGTTCTAACCGATTTTAAAACATTGGTTGTCACTGACTCAAGGTTACTTGAAAACATTTACATTTTACTCTTCATTTTCTTCTTCAGAACAATTTGTGCAATTGTTAATCAAAATGCTTTGCAAGCAAATAAAAGCTATAGTTTTCGAGTTTGCAATTTTCAGCTATAAGCTATTTATTTTTTATTTTTCTAAAGATACCCGCAAGTTATATCGAGCACATGGACGTGACGTCTTGTTGAAGTGGTTATCTTTATATTTTCTTACGATTCAAGATTTTATTGGATAAGATGCCTTCATATGGCATATTAACGGCAAGAAGGAATGATATACAAGTACCAAATACCATTTGTGTTGTCGTACATCTAATGTTTAATTTTAAGAACATTCCAAAAATACATGTCATTTTAATTGAATAATCGATTTTTTACACCATTTTTGTACGAGGAGCATTAAAAATTATGCCCAAATTGGTTTGTTGAATGATATTACAGAAAACTAGTTGTGAGTCTCATCAATTACATGTGTTAATTTTTTTTAAACAAATTAAATCTTAATATCAATATATTTGAGAAATTTGAATTTATAAGAAAATAAGAAAACTAATGGATTGTTATAATTGAAATGTTTTTCATCTTTTAAATTTAAAAAAATAATTTAAATGAATAAATAAAATAAACCAATGAACTTTAATTTGGGAATTTTGAAATAAAAAAATAAATTTATTAATGAAATTGATATTCATTTATTACAATGTTATTACATTAAAATACTATGTGTAAGACCCATGTATTACATGGTTTTAATTTAAATATATATATATATATATATATATATATATATATATATATATATATATATATATATATATATATGAAATTTCAACAATTTGAAAAGTTTGAATTTATAAGAAAAATGGAAAAAAAATTGAATTATGAAAATTATTAAAACTTTAATATATTGAATACATAACATATATAAACCCTTTTTAATAAATAATTTACATATATATTACCTTACACATTAAATATGAAATTTTAATTTAATAAAATGACAAGTAGAAAGTAAAAAATTTAAAAATTTTAGAAAATGTCAAGTGTCCAAATAAATAAGAATATGACATGTGGCAAAAAAAAACCTTCATTTATTATAGTAGATTTAATTTATTAAAATAGAAAAACTCATAAAATGACATGTGGAAAAGAAATTAATTCAAAATAACTAGAAAATAACATTTAGCAAATTGAATGAGAGTGTGAAATGTGGCAAAAAAAACCATTTATTTATTAGAGTAGATATGATTACTCCGAATTTGCCGATGGCAAATAGTATAATACAAATTAAATTATTCATTAACATTAAATATAATAATAATACATTACAAAATGGCTTTGGAGGAACGATATAGATTTTTGAGAAGTAGAGTAGTAAATTTATGTGTAATTTGTTTTAAAAAAATACTTGATCATTACAAATTGATATTTCAAATTTAAATTTATTCACTTTTATTAGATTATTTATTTAATTATATATGTAGTTAATATAGTTATTTGAAATATTATATTATAAATAAATTGATATTCATTTGATATTATATAAATTAAATTAATATTACATTACAATTTTTATTGATGTTATATTATAAATTAAATTAATGTATTATATTATAAAAAAAAATAGAAAAAGGAGAATACGTCTATTTTTTATTTTTAGTTTTTACCTTAAAATAGTTCCTAAACGTTGTTTGGTATTCTTATTTGGAATTTGTGGGGAGGCCTTAACATGTGGATTTCATTTTGTGTTATTCAATTATATGAGTAAATCTTTATTTTATTTGATTATTAACCATCATTAACTAAAAGTTAGAATTAAGTCAATATTAATGTTATGTTTGGCGTACAAACTAAAAAGTTATTTGTTAGTTGAAAAACTAGCTGATAATTAAAAGTTAGCTATTAAATAAAAAACTAACTGATAACTGAAAAACTAGCTGATAAAAAATATCATTTAGTAAAACTAACCGAAAAATATAAAATGGTTTAAAATGACATTTAAAAGAATATGTTTCTATAATTAATTAAGAAGTATTTTTGGAAAATTTTAAAAAAAAACTTCTAAAAGCTATTCTAAATAGGTTTTAAAAAACCAATTTATAAGCTATTTTTTGTCTTTTCAAACATGACAACTTAAAATAAAATAAAATAAATAAAAATAAAATAAATAAAAATAAAAATAAAAAATAAAAAAACTGGTTTGATAGCTGTGACGCGCCACAAATCAAAAAACATTAATTGTGTTGAAAATTCCTAGTTTATGCAAAAATATAGTGCTTGATACATATACCAAATAGCATGGCCTTATTAAACTTGAACTTATTTCACTTAGGAATACGTTAATTTGATTAACGGGGCTTTTTTGACAATCGTATTGCATATTTAAGACACATATGTACAAAAAGTAAAGTCCTTCGAATGGACGTCATATCGAAAACTAGAACACATCATCCAAACAAAGTAAAAATCGTTCATAACTCACATTTAATGTAAAAAGACATTAATTATAATATTTCCTGAAATAAATCAACATGATAATAGCCCAACATAAATCAAAACCTCTTCTATAAAAGGCCATCTCTTTATCTTTTTGGAATTACGATTCGAAAACAATTAAAAATCATATGTTAACCAATAAATGTTCCAAATGACAAATTTAAACCAATACAGCAACTCCTAAAAGAATAAAATTAAATATCTACATCCAATGATCTACATAACCAAAAAGGTAAACCACACCTAGCTCCCATACAAACAACAGCAATATTGTTTGATATGCTTATTAATGAGTTTGGTAAGAGGTTGATTCTGACTCAGTCAGATTTTAACCGTTTGATATCATAATTAGAAATTTATGATTCGGTCATATTGTCTTTAATATGCTTCTTATTGGGTGTGATAAGAAGTTGGTGTGACTCTATCGAGCTTGATTCAATCAACAACAATCTAACAACTCCACAATCTTATACAAATTGAGAGGGCTGGTCCAGATGGTGGCAACCCGAGCGACCGCCTAAATCCCATTTCTCCATGAGGGCCAAAATTTATGGGATATGTAGAGTATATTATTAAAAAAAATTATTACCTAAATGATTTTTAGGGTGTAAAGTTGGTTCAAACTTAAATTAGCTCAAAAGATAAAAAATTTGATTTACTTGTTATTGCTAATTGAAAACATTTATACCAAAAAATAAATGATATTTTTTTAATTAGATATTTTATTTGTCTTTGAGGGACCTTTTTTTTCTTTTTGCTTCGGGCCTCAGATACGTTTGGATTGACCCTGCAAATTGAGTAAGAGGGAGGTATGATGGTTAGTGGCTCCACAGTAGGGTTTAAAGATGGTTTCCGTAAATAAACATTCGACAAAAAATTCAAATAATGATAAATACATATAAATAAAAATTTCATAATCATGCTGACATTATAGTTATCCTTGCACAAGATCCATGTATATAAATACATTCACCCATGATGAATGATAACGTGGGTATATGTTTGTAATGAAAAGAGCGAATAAAGAAAAAAGTAATTAAATTTGCACATGAAGAAGTGAGGGTCAACAAGTAAAACATTAGTGAATACATAAGTAGTGGAAGCAGATATAAGAAGTAATTTGAAAGCAAATATTAGTTTCATATGTTATATGTAGGAAAACAAGAGTAAGAAGGTGGAAACAAGCCGACATACACCAACAATATGATCTAGAACATAG